ATTTAAATGAAGATTTTAAAGATTTTATTTTTAAGTAAAAAGGAAGATGATTTTAATGTAAAAACTTACAGCACTTCTTAGAAAAGATCAGAGATAACAGATCAGGATTTAAAATCCTGGTATTTCCACTGGTTTCAGTATGGACTGCCTTGACAAATCACCTTTAACAAAGTTATTTAACTTCTCTGAGCATCAATTTCTTTGTCTCTTCATAAAAAAGCAGCAGAGAGCTAATCAAAACACCAGACACCAGTGGTTCTGGCTTTGCTGTCAAATTTGGAAAATTCTGCCAAGTCAGTTTAATTTTTGATACTTCTTATTTGTAACCTTCTCATAAAAGCTAAAAAACATAAAGTTTTCCTTTGGTACATCCAGCACAGAAAGTATGTCCTTTCACTTACAACATTTTACAAACATATATTATAGTTAACAGGATCAAGAAGAGGATTTCAAAGGCGAATGGCAAGAATAATCAATTCTGTGATTACTCAATTTATAAATTAGAACATTTTAAGCAGATTTTAAAAACTGAGATATGCACAGTAATTTTTACTTTTATTTTTGTTCAGCGGGATAGAAATGGAAATACTAGTAATAGTAACATATTAAAAGGAACCATTACAAAAATACCCAAACCAAAAAAATGACTCAAATGATCTAGATATATAATTTCAATGGGTACAAGTAGGGAGGGCAGGCTGTTTGGTACATTCTGACTTCAAGCAGGGAAGTAGGACTACACAACTATGTTTTTCTTTTGTGAAAGATCCCCTAGGACATGGGTAGTCAAGAGTTTTCATAATCTAAATGATATAAAAGGTATGTTTCTATAAAATAAAGAGCATAAAAAAGCTTTAGAGTAAATGACTATGATAAAGCAAGGAAAGAAAAGAACTACTAAGAATGAGAATACTAAAATAGACCTATTTCCTTGAGTCCTCAAATCATTGTTTAATTTATAAACATTAACTAATGCCCTATTCTTGTGAGGTGTTATTTTTACTCAGACTTGAGGGGTTAAGTGACTTGCCTAGCACCTTATACTAAAACAAGAGCAGAACTGGATTTATGGTAAGAGCTGGTAGCACTGAGTCCCACACATAGACCCAAGGTCAGGCTCATGTCCCACGAGGGTAGTAGTATAATTTTCAATCAGCCAGCAGGGCTGCAGCTTGGAAAACTGCTTGAACCAATACTTTTTAAGGCCAACAATATCCACGTTATCAAATGAGAAAAATAGGGTACAATAATAAAATTGTCAATCAGCCACAGAAAATTTTACCAACTCTTGATTTTCTCCCCAAAATCTCCACTGGCAACCCTAATATTCTTTTCTCTTCCTGGCTTGCCTACTTTTATTACAATCTTACAAATTACAGGAGTGAGAGGATTTAGGATAAATCTAAAGTTTTTTAGCAGGTGGCTTCTGAAAAGCCAACTCAACATTTAAGATGATCATAACTAATAATTTATAATAAAGAAAATTCCACCACAATGACTATAGGGGAGTCATTAAATAAACTATGACCTTCACATGAAGGAATACAGTGCAGCCATTAGAAATCATGTTGAGAAGAACATTTAGTGTTAAAGAATATTTAATGTTATAAATTATTAGGTTAAAAAGTTTATAAAACAGCATGATAAAAATCTGCAAAAGAAAAAAGTGAGAGAGCATGTATGTATATGCATAAATGTACAAAGAAAAAGAGCTGTTGAGCTTCCAAGGACAAAAAAAACAAAACACAACCATTGTACTCTAGCTAGTAAACTTGGTTTTTGTAGGAAAAAGGGTTAGTAATTCTAAAATGACATCAGGAGTATGCTAGGATTGAGGAAATAGCAAATATGTTTTGAATAATAAGAGCCAGGTTTTTCACAGGTGGAGAAAGGACTTATAAATTTAAAAAGAAGAGTGAAATGAACCTTTTGGTACTGGATTGGAATTGGAGGTATTGGAAATGAACTCATGGTTTTGTAAATACAAATGTTTTCACACACATACACATATACACAGAGATAAGTAGATATGCAAATGGGTAGAGATGTCTGTCTGCATACTTATATTTCCTAGCTTTGTCCAGTGGGTAGGTCTAGAGGCAAAGATACCCAGATAGTGCTGGAGTCAATAAGCCTCCAGATTTTAGTCTCTACACTATTCTCTAATAAAAAGAACCAGGGCTCTTTGGAAACATGGCTGATTCCAGTGCTAGCGCAGGCAGAGGTACAAGATGGAACACTGCAAGGTGATGTTAAAATAATAATGTGTACATGTCAAAGGGATAGAGGAACCAGTGTGAGAGGCCCCAGTGGTTGATGCTGAGACAATCTGTGCAGCAAAGTAAATAATGATAGCAATGGATTTTACCCAATAGAATAAAACAAAAACTCATGAGTCTATACTTATATAAATAAATAAGTGAATAAAATATAAGTAAATAGAGAAGAACAAGTTCTTCCTTCCAGTAGAATTCCAGGGAAAATGGAAACAGAAAATCAGAATAGTAATAATTGCTTCAGGCAATTCAAATCAAAACTATAATGCAGTATCACCTTACACCTGTTAGAATGGCTAAAATCAACAACACAAGAAACAACAGGTGTTGAAGTTGTGGAGAAAAAGTAACCCTCTTAACCAACTGAGCCACCCAGGCGCCCGAAAAAGTAACCCTCTTGCACCGTTGATGTGGGAATGCAAACCGGTGGAGCCACTGTGGAAAACAGTATGGAGGTTACTCAAAATGTTAAAAATAGAACTACCTTATGATCCAGCAGTCACACTACTATTTACCCAAAGAATACAAAAACACTAATTCAAAGGATACATGTACCCCTATGTTTATAGCAGCATTATTCATAATAGCCAAGACATGGAAGCAGCCCAAGTGTCCACTCATAATTGAATGGATAAAGAAGATATGGGGTATGTGTGTACCTGTCTTCCTAGAGAGGTAAACCATGTGCTGCTTACAACAGGATGTCAAAAAATATCTGTTTATTATAGCCTTACTTCCCTAATTCCTGAAAGTTTGTACTTATTCTATTTTATGAAATATTCCTATTCTTTTAGATGATATAATTAAGTTTTTTTATGATAATAAAAATGTTAGAAGCTAATTTTAAAACATTTAAACATTTCAGAAAAGCATAAAGGAGAAATTAAAAACCACCCACAATCCTGCTAGAAATGGCTTTTGGTGGACACTATTCTGCATCTTCTCTCTAGGTATACTTGCATATATAGATATTTTACATACATGTAGAATTCACAAATGAAAATGTAACATTTTACAGCATTCTGTAACTGGAAAGATACTTAGGTTATTTACAAGTCTTTAATTTTGTAAATGATGCTATAATGTACCTCCATGTACACAGACCTATTTACTCTACCTTAAAAACACCCTAAGTTTTTGGGAAATTTTAAAAATTTTTTATTGCAGAAATGTCCAAAAAAGGTAAAATGTAGAAAATCAAATCTCTCATCATCTCACTCCCTTAGGAGCGCTTCGCCAACACTGCTCCTCTCCCAATCATCTCTCAGTAAATGGCAGCTCCATTCCTCCATTTGCTCAGGAGAAAAGCCCCGGAAAACTCTCTGGCTCCTCACTTTCCCTAAAAACCATTTTCCAATTCATCAGCAGACTCTGTTAATTCTGAAAAAAAGAATACAGGAAACCAACCAATTCTAACCAATCTCACACATACCAACCTGGTCCAGCCGCCATCATTTCATGCCTAGCCCTAAAGCACTCACGGTATGAAAAGTTCATTGATAGGGTTTCAGATTCCACATTGCAACTTTCAAGAAAAACCACATGTCAAGTTTCCATGTAGTGTCAAAAAAGAATATCCTCAATTACCTGAAAAGGCTATAAAAAATACTCTTCCCCTTTCAAACTACATATCTCTGTGAGGCTGGCTTTTCTTCATATACTTCATACTTTTTTTCATAAAACATCATATTGTAACAGACCGATTGCAAAAGGAGATATATGAATCTAGCTGACTTCTATTAAGCTAGACATTAAAGATATTTGCAAAAATGTAAAATAATTTTATACTTTTCACTAACTTTCTTTATTGTCTTAGAAAATAGTTACCTTTCCTGAAAAATCATGTTATTTCTATTAACATATAATGGGTTTGTTATTATTTTTAAATAACATAATAAATATTTGAGAATTTTTCAGTTTTAATTAACATGGTAAATATTCATAAATATAACCAACATAACCACTAGTGAACCACTGCTCTAGCAGCTTACCTCTCAGAGTAAAAGCCAAAATCCTTAACGGTTTACAAACTCCCTACCTTGACCTGACCTCATTTTCTCTGAGAAAATGATCTCCATATCCACTGCTTCTTAACTTCACTTCTAGTGCCCCTTTCCACCTTCTTTACAATGGTCTCCTTTATTTTTCTTTGACTATACCAAGTAAGTTCCTACATGAGAGACATGGCACTAGCTTTTTGTAGTTTTTGGAGTATACTCACTCAGATAATCCTATGGCTCACTCTTCTTTTAATTCTTTCTTTAATGTTATTTTATAAGCAAGACAGTCCCTGAACACATTTAAAGTAGTGAAAAACAACACTTTCCATCTTTCTCTAGATTTCCTTTATTCTACTGTATTACTTAAAAAAACCCAACAAGACAGCAGTTATCACCCCTTCACTTATATTTTTAAATGTCTTTTCCATCTCAAGTGAAAGCCCATAACAGCAGGCAGTCTTTTGCTTGTTCACTGCTGTATGCTCAGTACTTAGAAAAGTACCTGGCATTTACTTTTACTTTCAATTTTCATCCAATGGTAACTGAAATTGTCATCTTATTGCATTTATATTTGCCTTTTACTTTGAAAATTCTTGATTTGATTCATTAGATTTTTCTCAACAATGTTATGATAAAATATTTTAAATGCAAGTATATTTTATCCTAGAACAGGGGGAAAAAAGCAGAAATGATGGGATAAGATAGAAGTATTAGACTTTCATACCTGACATACTCTGAGTGCTTGGTCCAAGACTGTTTTGGTATCAGTGTCATAATCTGGGCAGGGCAGCATGGTTCTGCTGAGATGTGCCTGTAGTAGGAGATGTGCTTTGGTGTGAGGGCTATCAAATGAATGAGGATTAGATTCAAAGGGAAGACATTTTGCCAGTTCACTATTCATATGATCTTCATTATGTCTTACTGGCAAATCTGTGTATTCTTCTGCATCCTGGGGAAAAAAAACACACATACACATATATATACATATAGAAAATAATGTTGGATCAAAAGTATAATAATTAATGTACTTCTTAGCTTAACTACTGACATTTAAAACATCGTTTAGAAGAACCATAAGGCAACCAATCATGCCCCTTAGAACTTTGCTTTATTCAATACTATTATTAATATGTAAGTGCAAGCTAATAATGTACAATATATCTGAAATGCATGAATGCTCTTCTTATTTATACAATCAACAAAAATAACAGAGGACCTGCTGGGCATCACACAATATACTTAACATTGGAGCCACAGGAGTGAACCAGAGAGTTCCTCAGGGACAGATAAGTTCTACAAAGTACAATGAATGTTATTATATGGTAAGTACAGGGTGCTGAAGAGACATTCAGTTTGGGGACCTACTTATTTTAGAGAGTCAGGGAAAGTTTCTTGGAAACAATGACATTTAAGTTAAGATCTATAGGATGAGTGGAAGGAATATGGCAGGGCTGGGGCAGGGAGGTTGAGGATAAGATTGGTGAAGTAAGAAAAGGATGAAAATAAGAATCATTAACTTAAAATTTATTGTAATAAATCAGATTAAAATAAAGTGATTTGAAATTGAGAGTTTCCAGTTCCACATGTAAGGAGCTTAGAAGTCACCATTCTAACCTAACAACAAGTAAAAAGCTGAACAAATTGAAAGATCAACAACTCTTCTTGGATCCATAAAAGAGGAGAGGACATGGGGCAAACTGCTGCCCCCAAGATTGGAGACATAGGCAAACACAAGGAGTCATAGCTAACAGAAACAGATACTCATGAGCAGAAACCACCAAGGGAACCAGTGCTGAAGTAAGAAAACCTGAGCTGTAACTGTTGAATTGCTGGAGGATCAGTGTGGACAACTCAGAGTTAAAAACTCCAGGAGGACCCAGTCTTAGGGGAACCCCCCAAATATTGTGAAATTTACCTTCAGGAGCTTGGCCAGATTCCTATGGGAAATATCAGAGAAAAATTCGCTGGAGCTTCCAGCAGGAGGTTCCAGCAGGGGGTTTCCAGTTTGAAATATGCCAGAGAATTCTGTTCTTAACAAGGCCTGCTCTCAGGAGAAACTAGTTAACTACAGCCTAACCTAAGGTACTATTAGAGCTTAAATGACCTGGGGTAAGGGAAATACCCAACTTCAGCCACTGTAATCATCCTGTCCCATCTAAGAGGGGAGAAAAAACCTGAGAAACACTTCACACCTGTGAAATTCACAGTACTGAGGCCTGGCTCACTAAAAGATTGAGACCTAATCATAGAACTATAGCATATTTCTCCCCACTTCACCAGCACATTACTAAAGGCCTATTTACAGCATTTTTTTTTTTTACACAAAGTACATTATGTCTGGGTATCAAGAAAATATTACAAGATATAGCAAAAGGTAAAAACAAACAAAAAACCCCGCCACAAAATGAAAAAAAACAAAAAAACCTACCCAGTTTGAATAGACAGAGCCAACATAAGAATGGCAGAGATAATGGAATTACCAGACTGGCAGCGATATTGGAATTACCAGACTCGGAATTTAAAACAACTATAATTAGTTGCTAACCAACTAATATATGCTAAGGGCTCTAATGGATAAACTAGATAGCATTAAGAACTGATGGGCCTGGGTGGCTCAGTTGGTTAAGCATCTAACTTCAGCTCAGGTCATGATCTCAGGGTCCTGGGATAGAGCCTGGAGGCAGGCTCCACACTTAGCAGGGAGTTTGCTTGTCCCTCTGCCCCTTCCCCCATTTGTGCTCTCTCTCTAATAAATCAATACAATCTTAAAAAAAAAGAACAGATGGGCAATGTAAAATGAGATGAAAATGCTAGAAAAACCAAAAAGAAATGCTAAAGACAAAAAACATTGTAACAAACATGAAGATCTTTGAGGGACTTATTAGTAGACAGGACATGGCTAAGAAAAGAACTTCTGAGCTAGATGACATTATCAATGGAATCTTCAAGAACTAAAAAGCAAAGAGAACAAAGACTGAGAGAACCAGAATAGAATATCCAAGGACTATGAACAACTACAAAAGGTATAACATACACATAGTGGGAATACCAGAACAAGAAGAAACAGAAGAAATATTTGAAACAATAATGACTGAGAATTTCCCCAAATTGATGTCAGACCCAAATCACAGATCCAGGAAGCTCAGAGAACACTATGCATAATAAATCCAAAAAATCTACACTGAGGCATATCATCTTCAAACTTTGATTCCAAATAAAGAAAAAAGTCCTGAAAGAAGCTAGAGGGAAAATACACCTTATAGAGGAACAAAGATAAGAACTATATCTGACTTCTCAAAAACCATGCAAGCAAGAAGAGAGGGGAATGAAATATTTATTTATTTATTTATTTATTGATTGATTGATTGATTGATTGATTGATTTGATTTATTTATTTGACAGAGAGATAGACAGAAGAGCACAAGCAGAGGGAATGGCAGAGGGAGAGAGAGAAGCAGGCTCTGCACTGAGCAGGGAGCCCGATGCGGAACTTGATCCCAGGACCCTGGGATCATGACCTGAGCCAAAGGCAGATGCTTAACCATCTGAGCCACCCAGGTGCCCGGGAATGAAATATTTAAAGTGCTGAGAGAAAAAACTCACCAACCTAGAATTTTGTACCCTATAAAATTACCCTTCAAAAGTGAAAGAGAAATAAAGACTTTCTCAAATAAAAATTGAGTTAATTTGTTGCCAGTAGACATGACTTATATGATACATTATAAGAAGTTCTTTACAGTGAAGAAAAATAATATAGGTAAGAAACTTAATCTAAATAAAGAAAGGAGAGAATAAGTGAAGATAACATAAAACTTTACTTTTTCTTTTCTTTTTTTATTTAAAAGATTTTATTTATTTATTTGAGAGAGAGAGAATAAGAGAGAGAGCAAGAGAGAATGAGAGTGGGGAGGGTCAGAGGGAAAAGCAGACTCCCCGCCGAGCAGGGAGCCCGATGTGGGACTTGATCCCCAGACTCCAGGATCATGACCTGAGCTGAAGGCAGTCACTTAACAGACTGAGCCACCTAGGTGTCCCAAAGCTTTTATTTTTCTTATTGTTAATTGACCTGATTAACACTTTGTTCAAGATAATAATAGCAACAATGTATTTGATTATGTATATGTATATATCTTACATATATATGCTTGTGTGAGTGTATATGTGTGTGTGTGTGTATGCTTATATATAAAGTGAAATGAATGACAACAATGATACAAGAAACAGGAGGGAGGAATTAGTATTATTGTGTTATTATAAAGTATTCACACCACCTGTGAAGTAGTATGATGTTAACTGAAAATGGAACTGGAATAGTAGTAAATGTATATTGTAAACTGGGGCAATCACTAAAAAAAGAAAAAGTATAACCAATATGCTAATAAAGGAGAAAGTGAAATCACATAAATGCTCAATTAAAACCATGAAAGGCAGAAAAGAGTGGAAGACAAAAATGGGAACAAAGAATGACAGCAGGGGCACCTGGGTGGCTCAGTCGGTTAAGCGTCTGCCTTCAGCTCAGGTCATGCTCAGTGGGGAGTCTGCTTCTCCCTCTGTCCCTTTCCCTGACTTGTGCTCTCTCTGTCTCTCTCAAATAAATAAATAAAATATTTTTTTTAAAAAAAGAACGAGGGCAACAAATAGAAAACAGTAACAAATATGGTAGATATGAATCCAACTGTAACAGTAACCACTCTGAATGTCAGTGGTCTAGATGATTAAAAGACAGAGACTGTTAGAGTGGATAAAAAAACACAACCCAACTATATGTTGTTTACAAGAAACCCACTTTAAGTATAAAGACACATATAGATTAAAAGTAAGTGGATGGAGAAAAATATACCATGCTAACACTAATCAAAAGAAAAGCAAGGAGAGCTAATATTAATTTCAGACAGAGCAGACTTTAAAGCAAGGAAAGTTATCAGGGAAAAAGAAGGGAATTACATAATGATAAAGGGGTCAATTCACCTGGAAGACATAATTTTTAGTGTGTATGTGCCTAACAGAGCATTCAACTATGTAAGTGCAGTGAGTGAGTGAATGCAGGACTGTCTTAATATCTGAAAATCATTTAATATAATTCACTTTATTAATAAACTTAAAAAGAAAAACAACACTATCACCTCAGTTGATGCAGAAGAAAACATTTGACAAAATCTAACATCCATCCCTAATGAAAGCTCTCAGCAAATTAAAAAAGAAGGGTACCTTCATCTCTGAGAAACCTACAACTAACATCATATTTAACAGTAACTGAATGCTTTCCCCCTAAGATCAGGAATAAGACAGGAATGTCTTCTCTTTGTATTTCTATTCAACACTGCACCAGAAGTTTCAGTCAGTGCAAACAGACAAGAAATAAAAGAAACCCAGATTGAAAAGAAAGAAGTAAAACTGTCTTCATTTGTAGATGATCATCAAGGTAGAAAACCCAATGGAATCTACAAAATAATCTAGAGTAAGTGAGTTTAGCAAGGTTGCAGGATATAAGATTAATGTATAAAAATTAACTGTATAATTATATTTCTGTATATCAGCAACCAACAATCAGAAATGAATAAATATATAGCATAAAATATATGAAGCACTTAGAGATGAATCTGAAAAAAAAAACAAAAAACCCATGAAACACCTCTACACTGAAAACTACAAAACACTGCTAAGAAAAATTAGAGGACCTAACTAAATGGAGAGAGACATATCCTAATTCTCCTAAACTTGATCTATAGGTTTACTATAATCTCAATCAAAACCACAGCAGACTTTTATTCCCCTTGCGGTAGAAATTGACAAATTGATTCCAAAAAGAAATAAAAGGCATCCGAATCAGCAAAGAAGAAGTCAAACTCTCACTCTTTGCAGATAATATGATACTTTATGTGGAAAACCCAAAAGACTCCACCCCAAAACTGCTAGAACTCATACAGGAATTCAGTAAAGTGGCAGGAT